CACCAAAAAGTTGTACAACAAAGGAAATAACACAGAAGTCAAATCATTGTGCTGTAGACCTTAAACTTATACAGTACTGTATGTCAACTATATGTCAATAAAACCTTAATAAAACACAAAACAAAGGAAATAATCGCATATGCCACTTGGCTTAGCAGTGGATAACACTTTATGTAGACATTACAATGTAAACATGAAATTTTGAATTAAACAAAACTTCTGATATAATATTGAGAAAATCAGGGAAGGGAAGAAGGCAGTGAGAGTGGCATGGGTGAGAGGAAGTATAAAAGGTAAATCCTCATTGACAGTAATGATAAATGAGGTTTAAATTGAGAACTCTGTAAATAGCAGTAAAAACATGTTATTTAGAAATATGAAGTAAATACTAGATGAGCTAAAGAGTTGAAAGCTTGCTTCTAGAAAGTGGGGAAAGACTGGAAGACAGACAGCTGTTTTTCTTTTAGTATTAGTTGGTGTTTTAAAACTATGTGCAAATACTATACCTATTTAAAACATTAATTATATTTTAAGAAAGTATTATCAGGTCCAGATAATTTTCAAAAATGGCCACAGTTCAAAATCTAAGCATACCTCCTGCAAATTTTGGTCTTCTTGAGTCCAAGAATTTAAAACATGTGCTCCAGAGTCACTCACAATGAAATTCACCTAATAGAGTTCAAAGAAATAATTAGTATTCAACTCCAAGTCTTCTCAATCACATCATATTTAAAACATTTATTTTATTATAAATACCTTTTAATATATTATATATAACATAAACATAAATAGAGAGTGCAGTCTCTAGCTCTGGTTTGCTGATTGATTCATTCATTCATTTTATAGTTACCGAATGCCTAGTACAGGCCAGGTGCTATTCTCAGCACTAGGGATATGGGAATACAGTGATGAATACAACAGTTCTGTTGCTCACAATGTGGGGAAAGCCAGGAGTCTGAGGTGTGGTAAGACAGAGGGTAGTGCAGGGAGAATACAAACAAAAATAAATGAACAACATAATTTCAGAGAGTGATAAATGCTATGAAACAGAAGTTGTTTAGCTTCTTTAGGTTGGGTGATCAGAGAAGGGCTCTCTACAGAAGTGGCAATTGAGGGAAATCCAAAATGACCAAAAGAAACCAGCCAGGGAAAGAGCTGGAGGTACAGAATTCCAGGTACAGCAAACAGCAAATGCAAAGGCCTCTAGGTGCACACCCTCAAAAGGGTGAAGGTCAGAGAGGTAGGAGATAAGGTCAGAAAAATAAGCAGTGGCCATATAACCTAGAGCATTGAAAGCTAAAAGAATGGATTTGCACTTTATTCTAAATTTTAAAGTAAAGGGACTTCCCTGGTGGCGCAGTGGTTAAGAATCCGCTTGCCAGTGCAGGAGACAAGGGTTCGATCCCTGGTCCGCGAAGACCCCACATGCTGCGGAGCAACTGAGCCCGTGTGCCACAACTACTGAGCCTTTGTGCCACAAATACTGAAGCCCGCATGCCTAGAGCCCATGCTTCACAACAAGAGAAGCCACTGCAATGAGAAGCTCACGCACGGCAACAAAGAGTAGCCCCTGCTTGCCACAACTAGAGAAAGCCCATGCACAGCAAAGACCCAACACAGCCATAAATAAATAAATAAATAAATAAATAAATAAATAAATAAATAAATAAAAAGCATCCTAGTTCTTCCACTGTATCTGTCAAATTTCTTAAAAAAATTTTTTAAAGTAAAATGCAAACAAAATATATCAGGTAAGATGATAACAGTAAGGATACATTAGAAAATATATCAAATGAGGGCTATGTTCCCTTTGGGGTGGAGGGTGAGATTACTTCTTTCCCCTGGACTATATAATCTAAGTCATGATCTTTTTTCCTATTATCCATGTAATACTCATTTTGCCTCCCCAGTAAGTTTGATAAGCAGCCTTTTCTCCTAAGACTTACCTGACAGGAACATATTTTACTGGCCACTTTACTCACATTACCTCACTGAAATCTTACAACAATCATAGTTATGCTTACACGGGAGGAAACCGAGGCTTGGAGAGATGAAGCGAAATGATCAAGGTCACACTGCCGGTAGCTTAACGATGCCAGGACCTGAACCGAAACCTGTGTGCTAAACCACTACATTATGCTTCCTCTCATATATACTTTTTTACCTTACATGATACACAATTTACAGAGGGACTAAAACAATTTATATTTTAATTTGGAACATATCTGAATGTATAATATATATTAGCCTCTCTGTGTTCAGCCTTACTGTTACTGCTGTGCCTGTGCTGGTCTATGAACAGGCTAGGTCCCAACCTATGCTGCTCCAACTGAGACAGAAAGCAAAGCATCCACTTGTGGCTTAACCAAATGACTTTCCCAAAATAAAACAGTGGGGATTCTGAAAACTGAAGATAATTTTCACACTTGGAGTTTCTATCAATCTTCAATTTCTCTTCTTACTGATAAAAACAATTTCCCCTTAGCATTCTTAAGAGCATTCTTTACAATATGGCCAAATCCCGCAGCAATTTAGGACACTTCCACTAAAACTGTAAGCAGCCAGGTTCAAATTCTGGTTCTTCCTCTAACTAGCTACATGACTCAGGGCAAATTGCTTCTCTCTACCTCAGTTTCTGCATCTCCAACAAGGCAGTAATAAACAAGGCTGATATTCAGATGGAACATACCAACACATTCTGACAAAGTGCTTTCAGCCAACATCCCTTCTGCTTCGGCTGACAACAGTTCTCAGTGGTCAGTGTCTGTTCCATTCTGGTTTTATACACTTTGAATACTGTCCCAGTAATTACAGTAGCTACCTCATAGGACTGCTGTTAAGAGTTAAAGGAGTTAATATGAAGCACACGTTAAGTGCTCCATAATTGTTAGCTGTTATTATTGTTGTTGGCCCCAATTAAATACATGTATTAACCCCAAAGGGGAGTTCTATATACTACACTATTAAAGTAGTAAATAAACAGTTGTAAGTCAAATCTAAAGCAAAGTCATACATAAAAAGTGTAAAAAGTAGTCAAGTACATCCCCCAAATCATGATTTTACTTGTACTTCACACTTACCAGCTTTTTGAAAGGAAATATATCATACATTATTCTACAATATTCCATGGAAGATTCTACTGAGCAAGTCCACAATGATTTAGATATAGGGGCCAAAGGGATGATTCCTTGGGTCCTATTCTTCACCAGCATATCAAACTCGACATGCTGTCTGCATGATTCTGCCATGTAAGGGCAGTGATCCACAACAAATACTGTTTTATGAGATTCAGAAAAAATCTTCATTTTGTTTTAACCTGTAAGGGATAAAATATATTAGCCAAACACCTTATACGTAACATTTAATATCTTAAATTATTTCTAACGAATGCGTCTTTTCCTCAAGATTTGATAGGGAACATGAATAATCAGTAGTCAAAGAAATTTATCGAACAAAGGACAAGATTTAATGAGGTCATGACCAGAAAGTAACAATTCAAGGGACGAGCTACACCATATTCACCTGTCATTCTACCAGACACAGGCAGATTACAATACATGCAGATATTTTTTGCTTTTGGAATGAACTTAAATTTGCCAGAAGAAAACATTTTTACAAATAATCGTATTGGTTTCCCTTACGTAATACCAAACAAAATAAACGACAAACACCCTTCAAACACACTTTTGATGATCCTTGCTAATTGACATCAATCAAATATAAACCCCTAAAGTAATATAAGTCAGCATTTGGGGGCTTCCCTCCAAAAAAATCTCAAGACTTCTGAAAAAGGGTGGGGATTGGGGAGAAAGAATGAACTGGAAAGAGTGACAACAAAAGGTAAGCTCAAAACATAACAAACATCTCCTACGATAACTGCATATCTGGTCTTCGCATTAGGATAAGGACCTCAAATTCACACTCTCCACCTTAGCTTCTGAAACACCACGGTAATTCATCATGTAGAACAGAAAAACTTAGGTGCTACCATCACATGGTGGGAAGGAGGAACTTTTGAAACTTTTTCTTGTAAGAACTCCCTTGCTTCGCTAATAAAATCTTACACTGAATAGACAATCCACATTCGAAAAGCACAGGGTAAACACAGCAGAAGTGTTCATTAAAACGAACCGACTTTTTACAATCCAGCTATTTTCTTCTCCTGCTTTCCAATGCATTTCCCCTTCATGCAAAACTCTTCTTTGAGAAACCTAGACACACTCTGCTGGAAACTGGGGTGGGGGGGGGGGAGTACAAGGTGAGTGGATAAGGAAGACCTCAGGATCGAGGTTCGCTTACTTTCGTGCCTGGTCCTGCAGTGAAAACGAACAGAGGCTATGCACCACAGCCTCTCTGGAAAAGGCTGCTGGCTGGGTGGGGAGGGTCAGCGCTCAGTCAGGAGTGTCTGGTACCAAAGACAGGGGACTATGCTTTCCCCGCTCATCTCCTAACACACCGGTCCTTCCCAGGCTTCCTAAATGCAGGAGCGCGCGCGCCTGCGCGTGAACACAAACACTCACACACTCGGACTGGCGCGTGCGCAAAGCACTCTTCTGCAGCCCCGCCAAGCTGCCCTTCCCCCTCTGCGGGCCAGACGCCCAGGTCTCTAACAGGAAGAGGGCGGAGCCAAGAAAAAAAATGCCTCCGACCCTCAAGATTTTCTACCCCCTAATTTTCCAGTCACCCATTCGGAAAATTGATCCGGGCGACCTGAGAGCGTCCCCAACAGCGAAGTACCAACCACAGCACCGGCTAACGGTGCTACGGTCCCCTAAGCGCAAGGCCCGCCCACCAGATCTCCCCTTCTCAGCCTCTCCACCCAGGCCCGTTTCCCCTAGCAAAATTCGCGAGACTTTGCGAGAGGCCGAGAGAAAGCTTGAGCGTGGATTAGTGGGGAGGCCCGCCCCTAACTCTCGCGCATGTCAGCTAGAGGCCTCAAAAAAAATCGCTGGGCTCTGCCCCCACGGTTACGCGAGGAAGGAAATCTCGCGAGGTTGAAGCGCTCTGAGAGCGCTGGTCGGAGGCGGTGAACGGAGGTTTTCCGTTGGCAAGTGATGGGGCTGAGCCCCTCTGTTTCCCCCAGGCCGCCCCTGCACTGCCTCTGCTTGGTTCTGCGTCTGCTCGCTGAAGAAGCTGAACAGGCAAGAGGAGTCTCTTTCCCTGGGTGCATAGGTCCCCGTTGGCCGAGGCTTGAGTCCTAACCGCCACAGCTGACGGCTGCGAGGGATTGAGACCAGAGTAAGTGGAATCAATCCAGGGACCAGAGCGGGCATAGGGAGTCGGAAGCTTCCTTCCCCGATGGTGCTTTGCACCACCTCTTGAACTACCGGCTGCCAGTTACTGGGCGCGGTACTTCCTCTCCTTGTTCAGCTCTGAGCACCTCTTTCCGGAACTGAGGTGCGGAAAGTTCGATGAAAAGCCTTGGCCCTAACCCTGTGGACACACCTTCCCTCTCTGTTTCCTGCCTAACCCACCTGGGAGCTCACCGTTTGTGGGGCGGGGTTGGGGGGTGGTCGGCAGGGATGCAAAAGGGGTTCTTTTCAGTTTTCAATTTACCTCTTTGCATATGACATGGAGAACCATTCTCTCTTTCTTGAAACTGCCCTCCAAGAAATATTACTCTTTTCCTGGTACTCTTCACGGATAACCATACTGTCTGGAAACTGCCCTCTGAAGAATCCTACTCTTTTCTTGGTTTTCTTCCTGCCTTTTTTATGTATCCCATCTCAGATAATGGTACCGGTGTCCATCCTGCTGTCCAAACTAGGAACCTAAGGCTCATCCTTGACTGTGTATTTCCACTTACACTGCACGATGCTATTTCTTTTTCTTTCACCAGATGATTTCTCCACCATCATCCTTCCCTAGAGTTACCATTCTGAAATACAAATCTGTTCATAGCAATACTTTCTTTAAGCTTTTTGAATAACCGTATTGCTGACAGAATTAAGTCCTAATTGTTAAGCATATCACTTAGGACCTTATACTGTCTGTTCCAATACATTCCATTCTACCTTTTCTGTCTTACTTTGCCTCTCCTCCAAATACTTCAATACCCAGTCATGCCAGACTGCTGGATGTTTCTCCAAATATGGAAGCACTTTCACAATTCTGTGCCTTTGTATGTGTTGTACCATCTGTCTTGAATGCTTACTCTTCCTTATTTTTTTTAAACCAACTTTCAAGATCCAATTCATAGACCATTGTCTTCTCAGGCTCCCACAGATGATATTGATAGTACCACGGTGTTCCCAAAGCACTTGAGACGGTACTTCTGCAGTATTCCTTAGGTTGTATAACATTATTTGTTCCACTATCTGTCTCTTGCGCTAATTTGAACTTGAGCCTGGGATCACGTCTTATTCATCTTTGTAACAAAAGTTAGACCAATGCTTGGCACATAGCAGGTGTTATAGTTCTGAAGATTCACCATAGGAGTAGGAATCCTTAGCATCCTTAAAAGTGTAGAATTTTAGAGCCAGAGGAACCTTGTATATTAGCTTAAAGAACCCTGACCTGTTTTGAATATGAGGAACCCTGTACCACCAATACACAAGTAATTGTACTTTTAGTATCTGTTAGTTGAGATTGTGCATAGTGGCAAAAAGACTATTATGCTTTTAAATGCTTTTGTATTTTATTATTACTAGTCTCTATTAAAAATAGTGGGCTATTTATGTGAGAGAAGTATTTAGACTACAGACCATGCTTGGTATATGTACATCCATGCAGCCCTTCCAATGATTCCTTGCCCATAGGTTAGAAATAACTGGTTTAGATTAAGTTAGATCCTTCTTGAATTGTCATACCTGTTTGAACATACAGGTGTATGCAACTTATATTTAGCCACAATTCCAAGGTAACGTATAATTAAAAAAAGAAATTCTCCTGTGTCCTTACTTTCAGATTGTTTCTTATAACTTTAAAAATTCATTTTCTTCATAAAGCACCTTCATAAAACTCCAAACGTGTTCATTCCATCATTTTCAAGGACAGTGAAAATTTTTTGTGCTTTCAGATACAGTGCTATGTCTGTATAAGATGCTTTTTAAAAATATGTAATTTATAATTTACATGTTTTCTTTCTTGATCTCTTTATAAGTTTCTAAGAGAGCCATAACTAGGACTTTTTATATTTCCATATGTGTCAGTTAGTATTATCTACTAATTAACTTCAGAGGCACCTGCCTGAACAATAAAATTTTTAAACTAGATTGTTGACATTGATAGACACATCTGTGGTATGTCAGCGGTCACAGTATTTCTGTGTAGTTCCAGGTATAGGGTAATGGATTTGTGGATAAAGGGGAAAGAAGAGTGGTTTGAATTTCTTTAAATTTTTCTTAACCAAAATCTAAAACTAACAGCTGGCAGTTTCTGTCTTGGGTGGGTGGTGGTTTCTCTTTTATCAGCAGCACAATGTTCTGAACCCTCTGCCAGGAGTCTGACTGCGAATGTCTTTGGGCGGTAAAGTGGGTGAGAATGTGGCTAATGTGGAGGGCGGGGAACTGCCTTAAAAAATTTTACCTGTAATATGAACCTACCTATAGAAGATAATGTAAGTAAGTACACTAGTTAAGTGTGACTAGTTAAGACATGCTCTCTAAAAATAGATAAAATTGAGAATATCTTTTTTTTTTTTAACTGGAGTCTTTTAAATTTAAAACTTGTTAGAGAATGTGGAAAACAATCTTCCTCCCACTCCAGTTACCAGCCAAACAGTGCAGGGGGAAAAGCACAATGGTTTTCAAAAAAGGTGGCAAAGTAAAGGCATATTATAAAATATTTTAAACTTTTCTGTGGTTTTACATACAGGAAATGAACATGCAGATTCACAGAAACTTTGTGTCACTGTTTTTCTGAAATGCTAATAAAGGTATGCTTTTAATTACCTGCTATTTATAATTCCTTTCCCTGAACAGGTATGTTTTTATAGTTACAAAAGAAATTACAAATGTAGTTCATTTTGATAGTAGTATTTCATTATGCAATGTAGAGAATGTTTTTTAAAGTGGATGTTAATTCTAGTTTCAGAAAGTCTAATTGGTCTCCTTAAAAAACAAAATTCAACTGAGTAAACTTTAAAAATCTTATTGGCTTTGTTCAGCGACTCATGAATCAGGCTGCATCCCATCTAGCAGAAAGGAGTTCCAAGGAGCTGTACAAAATGAAAGACTTTTATAGGAGAAGGGACAAGGAAGTTATACTAACAAAAAGCAGATTGGTTGGGACAAGGTCACTTTCCTTTAGGGGACGGCAGGGGTCTGTCAGACAAATTACCTCACAGTGATTCCTGATCGACAGATTTAGGGTTCTATTTCTGGAAGAGGCCAAAACTGTAAGTTAAGTCTTGGTTTGGTGATGTGGGGCTTAGCATAAGTGACATGGCATTTGGGGGCCTGTTTTCTTGTTTTTAACAGTCTTATAATTAACTGTGATGGCTGGTTAAAATAGGTACTAGGCTTTTATTGGTTATGCAGAAAAATATTAAATATTTGTTATTTTTTCATCTTCATTTACACTTCCATTTATTTTCTATTGCTGGTTTGAAATGCAATTTATATAATACTTTGGAAGTCTCATCGGTCGAGTAGGGCAAGGAATTTGCTTTGTTTTTCCACCCAGGAGACCAGGATAGTCTTTATATAGGTAAAAGCAAACAGGGCCCTGGAGAGCCATCATGGCTCATGAATATCCACTAGACTGGGGGTCAGAAGTGCTATTTCTGGTACTAGCTTGGCTCCTTCCTTGCTACATGGTGCTGTCAGTCAGCTCCTTACCTTGGAAATCCTGAGTCTGTTTCCTCATTGGTAAAATGGAAATAACAGTTATCCCAATGAGCAAGATTCAGTATAAGGTTGTATTACTCAGGCGCAGAAAGCTACCAACAGTTGGAATTAATTAAAATTATTACCTAGCAGTTTGATTTTACTCTGGAGTGCTCTAGAAGTCCATTTAGATTGAATTAGGTTGGAGAAAATGCTAACAGACTTTTGAAGAAGGAAAAGATGACTTGCCATATCAGATAGCAAGCGTTATTTTACAACTGTAACAGTTGAGGCAGCATATTGATGTAAAGATAGATAATAGATACAAAGGTAGAATAGAGAGCTCAGAAACATACCCATACATTTATTGAAAAAACATACAACAGGTGTGGCATTACAGTTCAGTGGGGGAAGAACGTACTATCCAATAAATGGGAACTGGCACAACTAGTTGTCCACATGAGAAAAGGAAAATATAATTAGATATCTTCCTTATACCACGCATGCAAATAAACAGCAGATGAATTAAAGACAAAGGCAAAACCTTGGGGACAGATCTTTTTTTTTAAGTTTTAAAATTAATGTATTATGCCCTTTTTTGCAATATAGTTCTATTCATTTTAACATGTGTACAGATTCCACCGCAATCAGGATACAGAACTATCCATTATTTCAGAATACTCTCTTGTGCCACACCCTTCTCCCCCACCCCGGTGCCCACTCCCACTCCCAGCTCCTGACAACCACTGATCTCTATGTACCCTCTTATCTACCGCTGTGGTTTTGTCCTTTGGGCAGTGCCAGGTAAATGGAAACAGTATGTAACCTTTGAGATTGTCTTCTTTCACTCAGTCAGCATAATATTTTTGAGATTCACCTATGTAGTTGCCTCATCAGTGCTTCATTCAGTATTATTGCTGAGTAGTATCTCATTGTGTGGATGGTATGTACTGCAGTTTGTTTATCCACTCATTTCTCTACAGTAAATACCCAGAATTGGTATTCCTGGGTCATATGGTAGAATACATTTAACTTTTCAGAAACTGCTAAACCATTTTCCAAAATAACCATGTTATTTTGCATTCTCACCAGCACTGTGTGAGAGTTCCGTGCCAGCACTTGGTATGTCAGTACTTTCTATTTTATCCATTTTAATAGGGGTGTAGTGGAGCTCATCATGGATTTAATTGCTTTTCTTTAATGGCTAATGATGTTGAATATGTTTTCATGTGCCTTTTTTGCCATTCATATATTTTTTTGGTTAAGTGTTAAAGTCTTTTGCTCATTTTTAAAAATTAGATTATTACCTTATTGTTAGTTTTGAGAGGTTTTTATGTATTCTGAATACAAGTCCTGTGTCAGATATGTGATTTGTATCTTCTCCTAGTCTATAGCTTGTCTTTTCAGACTGTCTTAACAGTGTTTCCCAGAGCAAAAGTTTCTAATTTTGATGACGTCCAGTTTATTGAATTTTCCTTTTTTGAATCAAGCTTTTGGTATCATGTCTAAAAAGTGTTTGCTTAACCCCAGGTCACAAAGATTTTCTCTTGTTTTTTCTTCTAGAAGCGTTACCATTTTTCGTTTTACATTTAGAGCTATGGTCCATTTGGAGTTAATTTTTGTGAAAATTGTAAGAATTACTTAACATGTTGGCATGCAGATGTCCAGTCTCCCAGCACCATTTGCTGAAAAGGCTATCCTTTCTCCTTTGACTTGCCTTTACACCTTCAAAAATCAGTTGGTCGTGTTTCTGTGGGCTTATTTCTGGACTCTGTTCTGTTTTATCTGACTGGCTCTGCCAATACCATGCCATCTTAACTGCTATAGCTTTATAGTAAGTCTTAAAATTTAGAAGTGTGATTTCTCCAATTTTGTTTTCAAAATTATTTTGACTATTTGGTTGAATTTGCCATTGAAACCACTTGAGTCTAGAGATTTTTGGCAGAAGATTTTTAACTACGAATGTTTTTAATAGTTGTAGGACTATAGAATAGTTACAGGTATTTAATAGTTATAGCTATAATAATTATTACTAATAGTTGCATCTTGTATGACTTTATGTAGTTTGTGGTTTTTGAAGAATTTGTCCATTTCATCCAATTCATGTGTATGAAATTTATTATTGTATTCACTTAGCCTATTAATGAATTAGGAGTCTGCAGTGATATCCCTTCTTTCATTCCTGACGTTGGTAATTTATGTCTTCTCTCTTTTTTTTCTTGGTGAGTTACGCTAGAGGTTTATCAACTTTTTTTGCTTTTTCAAAGAACTAGTTTTTGGTTTCATTGTTTTTTTTTCTGTTGTTTTCCTGTTTTCAATTTCATTAATTTCTCCTCTTGTATTATTTCCTTCTTTCTGTTTACTGTGTGTTTATTTTGCTTTTCTTTTCCTTATTTCATGAGGTTGAGGCTTAGATAGTTGATTTGATATCTTTCTAGTTTTCTTATATAAGCATTTAGTGTATGAATTTCCTGCTTTACATGCATGCCAAAATTTTGATATCTTGTACTTAGATCAAAATATTTTCTAATTTCCAAAAAAACTTTCTTTTTGTCTCATGGATTACTTATGTGTGTTGTTTAATTTCCAAACATTTAGAGATTTTCTTGTTGTCTCTTCGTTATTTATTTTAGTTTAATTCCATTATGTTCAGAGAACATAATTTGTATGACTGCAGTTCTTTTAAATTTGTTAAGGTTTGTTTTTTGATCCAAGATATACTCTATCCTAGTGAATGTCCCATGTGTACTTAAAAATACTGTGTATTCTGCTGTTGTTGGTTATAGTGTTTTATAAATATCAATTCAGTCTACTTAGTTGATGGAGTTTGTTCATTTCTTCTATATCGTTGCTGATTTTCTCTGTACTAGTTCCATCAGTTACTGAGAAAGAAGTGTTGAAGATTTCAGCAGTAAGTGAGGGTATGTCTATTTATTTTTTTCAGTTTTTATTTGATTTTGAAGCTCCCTAGTTAGGTACATATACATTTAGGATTCTTATGTGTTCTTGGTGAGTTGGCCCTTTTATCAACTATGTATTGCCCCTCTTTTATCCCTGGTAATTTTCTTTTCTCTGAAGTCTAATTCATCTAGTATATTTTTTAAAATAAATTTATTTTTTTATTTTTGGCTGCGTTGGGTCTTTGTTGCTGTGCGTGGGTTTTCTCTAGCTGCAGCGAGCGGGGGCTACTTTTAGTTGTGGTGTGTGGACTTCTCTTGTGTAGCACGGGCGCTAGGTGTGCGGGCTTCAGTAGTTGTGGCATGGAGGCTCAGTAGTTGTGGCTCGTGGGCTCTAGAGCACAGGCTCAGTAGTTGTGGCGCATGGGCTTAGTTGCTCTGCAGCATGTGGGATCTTCCCGGACCAGGGCTTGAACCTGTGTCCCCTGCGTTGGCAGGTGGATTCTTAACCATTGCGCCACCAGGGAAGTCCCTCATCTAGTATTAATATAGCCACCAGCTCTCTTTTTTAAATATAATACCTTTTTTGAGATACAATTTCACATACCATAATATTCCATCATTTAATGTGTACAATTTGATGGTTTTTTTGTATATTCACAGAGTTGTGCAACCAGCACCACAATCGATTTTAGAATATTTTCTTCACTCCAAAAAGCTATGCCCATTAAGTCACTACCCATTCCCCTTATCTTCCCCCTCTCCCTTTGACCCTAGACAAATCACTAATCTACTTTCTGCCTATATGAATGTGCATCTTGTGGACATTTCATGTAAATGGAATCAAAATATGTGCTTTGTGACCAGCTTCTTTCACTTAGCATAATTTTTCAAGTTTCATCCATTTTGTAGCTTATGTCAGTACATCATTCCTCTTTTTTGGGGGTCAAAAAATATTCACTGTATCACATTTTATTTATTCATTTTCAGTTGTTGGACATTTGGGCTATTTCTACTTTGGAGCTATTATGAATAGTGTTGCTATGAACATTCATGTACAAATTTTCTGCAAGGACATGTTTTCATTTTCTTGGTGTGTACCTAGGAGGAGAATTGCTAGATCATGTGTTTAACCTTTTGAGGAACTGCCAGACTGGTTTCCAAAGTGGCTGCACCATTTTACATTCCAACCAGCAGTCCATGAAAGCTCCAAATTCTCTACATCCTAGCCAACACTTAACTATCTTCTTTATTATATAGCCAGCCTAGTAGATATGAAGTAGAATTTTGTTATTTTGATTTGCAGTTCCCTGATGGCTAATCATGTTGAGCACCTTTTCATGTACTTATTATTAGTACACTGGCTTTCTTTTGATTGGTGTTTATATAGTGTGTCTCTTTCCATCCTTTTACTTTTAACTTACCTATATCATATTTAAAGTGAGTTTCGTGTAGACAACATATAATTAGGTCCTGTTTTAAATCCTAATTAAAGAGTTAGATTATCAGACTGCGTGTTCTAATGTGTTTAGAACATTTATATTTAGTGTAGTTATTAATATATTTGTATTTAGATCCACCATCTTATTTGTTTTCTGTTTGTACCCTCAGTGTTTTGTTCCTTCCTTTCCCCTTTTTTCCTTCTTTTGGGTTATTAAAACTTTTTATTCATTTTAATTCATCTGTTATGATTTTAAGTCTTATCTCCATACTGCTTTTTTTAGGGATTTCTCTAGTATTACAACATATATGTTTGTTTACAATTGACATTTTATCATTTCAAGTGAGATGTTGAAACATTATAGTATAGGTCCATTTACCCTCCCCGTTTATGTTATAGTTATATATTACATCTACATAAATTGAAAATTCCATCACAAAAGTTATAGCTTTTGTTTTCAAATATCAGACATTTTAAAGCACTCAAAAAGAGAATAGTCTATTCTCTTTTTCAAGATATTTATGATTTCTCTTGCTCTTCCTTTATTCCTGATACTCTGAGTTTCCTTCTGCTATCATTTTGCTTCCCTCTGAAGAATTTCCTTTAGAACAAATCTACTAGAAGTGGATTCTCTTCTTCTTCATCTGAGAATGATTTTTATTTTACCTTCATATATGCAGGGTATTTTCACTGGATATAGAATTATGGGTTGAGCGTTCCATTCTTTAGCACTTTTAACTGGCCTTCCTGATTTCTTTTTTTTTTTTTTAGATGTTGGGGGTAGGAGTTTATTAATTAATTAATTTATTTTTGCTGTGTTGGGTCTTCATTTCTGTGCGAGGGCTTTCTCTAGTTGTGGCAAGTGGGGGCCACTCTTCATCACGGTGCGCGGGCCTCTCACTATCGCGGCCTCTTTTGTTGCGGAGCACAGGCTCCAGATGCGCAGGCTTGGTAGTTGTGGCTCACGGGCCTAGTTGCTCCGTGGCATGTGGGATCCTCCCAGACCAGGGCTCGAACCCATGTCCCCTGCATTAGCAGGCAGATTCTCAACCACTGCGCCACGGGGGAAGCCCCAGCCTTCCTGATTTCTGATGAAAAATCTATAGTCATTCAAAATGTTGGTTGTCTGTAAGTAATATGTTATTTTTCTCTGGCTGCTTTCAGGATTTTTCTTTGTCTTTCATTTTCAGAAATTTCATTATGATGTGTCTGAGCTTGGACCTTCTTGGATTTATCCTGTTTTGGGTTTGCTGAGGACTGAGAATGATACAAGCAGAAAGATTTCTGAGAAAGAGGCAAAGTGTTGCATAATTTAAATTCATGAATAACTGATCCAGTTAAATGTTTCTATTTTACCTGATTGACAAGGTAGAATATTCTTGGAAGGACACAAAATATAATAGTATATTAACCATTGTGAGTATTATGGCTTTTCAGTAGGGGACTTTTAAAATCTATACGTAACAAAAATAAATATGCTATTATTAATACATTGCTCATATATTTAGGAATGTTATGTAGTCCTAAACCATAGAGAGAGGCAACCCCATAAAATCCACTTGGAGATGTTCAAAACGTCCTTTAGGAATGGTTTTAGTCCTCGCTTCACCTTTACAGTTTTTCCGGATACATTTATTTACAAATAAGGTGTGTACTGGACCATATCCTCTGCCATCCAAGCAATTTTCCCATCAGTGTTTAATATTGTGGCTAATCTTTTTCTACTGGAATGAGTTAGTGTTCATTCAGGGTTTTGTCTGGTACTATCAGGTAGCCATCCTGATTATGTCAGCTCTTATACTCATGGGTTTTATAACCTGATCATCCCATGTTTCTTTCTGGAATTTGGAAGGCCAGATTTTGTGTGTCTGTGATGGAATCTTTGACTTCTCCATGGATTTCTTATGATTTTATTGTTTTACATGAAACCCTTGCATAGGACTTTTAGTAAAAGTAATGTTTTTATAACTATGTACTTTAAAGTAGTTCAATAGTATCTGTAATATACGATACTAGCTTTAGAATCTTTTTTTTTTTTTATTGTGCATCTCTACCTTATTATTTTAGGTAGCATCAAGCCATCAAGTAGTTAATGTATTTGTTGTTTTTTAAAGGATATCGGAGGAACTTCCTTGCAGCATTTAAAAAAGTGAATTATTCCAAAAACAACTCAGCTACTAGTGTATGTATTTACTCTTTCATTTTAACGAGTTGCTCTATCTTAGAAGGCCACAGTTAAGTCATTTGATCAGTTTGGCTTCTGGTAAGAAATTGAATTTTATCAGCATGACTGAAGTGCCTGTTATGTATCAAGCCTGATGCACGTCACTTTTCATGTTTGATGTAAAACCCATTAACAAACAGTAAAGTCGGGATTTGGTGCTAGAGAGTTCAAAGTCTTTGCTTTGGGCTTGGACACTCCGTGAATTTTGGGAACACAGTCACGAGATTTTCTTCCAGTAGGCATGATTGTTGGAGTAAGAGTTTTGTACCAGAAGATGGTAATATGAAGCGGAGAAAGTAACAACATTTCATAATTATTCCACTAGTAGATGATTTAGGGTGCTTTCATTTAGCAGTTGGGATTTACTACATATGGGAACATTAGGTATAAAGACCTAGTATAAACTCTGAAGGTGCTTTGACTAATTTAGTTGAGGCCTGTGATTGCTCTGAGGCAAGGAGGGTGAGCCTTAGCTACTGAATCAAAGCTTAGGATTTAATAGGCAGTGGGTCTTTGGTGCCATGTTGTCAAGTTGATACCCCCAGAACACAGCTTAACTTTTTCATATTCCTTTTTTTTAAAAATATTTATTCATTTATTATTTATTTGGCTATGCAGGGTCTTTGTTGCAGCACACAGGGTCTTTGTTGCAGCATGCGGGATCTTTAGTTGTGGCATTGCGGGATCTAGTTCCCTGACCAGGGATTGAACCTGGGCCCCCTGCGTTGGGAGCACAGAGTCTTAACCACTGGACCACCAGGGAAGTCCCAACTCTTTCGTATTTCAAAAAGAAAGATTTATGATTATCTGGAAAGATTCCATCTAGTTTCAGGGCTCTGTAGATTCCTTCACCCAGAGAATTCTGGGAGCATGGCTTTTGGGGAGAGGGCAACTTATTGAATTACACACAGTATAGGTATTCTCATGTCTAGATCACCTATCATCTGATCATATATAGGAACTTTAGTGCATTTTATTTGGAAACGCATCCTATCTATTGTTTGTAGATGTCATGTTGTTACAAAGCATAAAGAGGTATTCTTCTCATAGTAGTCCCAACAGTATCATTTAACAATATCCTAGGTTGGAACCTAGGACTGTCAGAGGTTCCTCATACTTGTTCTATTAAATCAAGATAAACTTTACTTCTCTAAGATCTTTTATAACTTTCTCTAGACTTTGTTTTTTTTATTTCTTTCACCATCTATTACAACCAGTTATTTTTACTATAAGACAAATATTTTTTTCTCTTTTTAATTTTTTTTTCCCACAAATAACTTTAAAATTTTACTCTGAAGAATCTGCTGTTCTATAGTAGTGGGATTGATAGGAGATATGGAGATATAGTAACTCCCACATAAATAGGAAAGCCATACTATTACCTATCTATAATTTTATTTTTTTATTATTTTTTTTTGCGGTATGCGGGCCTCTCACTGTTGTGGCCTCTCCCGTTGCGGAGCACAGGCTCTGGACGCGCAGGCTCAGCGGCCATGGCTCACGGGCCCAGCCGCTCCGCGGCATGTGGGATCTTCCCGGACCGGGGCACGAACCCGTGTCCCCTGCATCGGCAGGCGGACTCTCAACCCCTGCGCCACCAGGGAAGCCCCTATCTATAATTTTAGATTATTCCCCTTGGAAGTTTAGAGGAAGGGCAAGGCATTATTGGAGACTAATATCTCCCTTGGAGCATCTTAGATAGATTTTGAATGGCTGTACTTTTGTGTTTTAGCCAGTACAAGCCATTGGTTCCTTTAATTGCCCTTTTGCTTGTATTTTGAAGTACACTTATCTAAATCTCCTAGATATTAGAGGACAAATCTTTTGGTTGTTTTATCTAGAGAGACAGAAATTGTATTAGTTTCCAGCGTAATTCTTAAAGCTCTCTGGAAATGTCTAGTCATGAATATTTTCTAGATTGGCAGTTTTACATTTTAATTTATTTTGATTAAATCTTTTTATTCAGCTTTAAACCTGTTTATAATAACAGGACAGTATACCCTTTGCTTCAGCTGTTGGGTACAACCAAGAATACTGTTTGAACGTTTTTTCATCTTTATTTAGTTTACAATTTTGAATCTTTGCTATATAACCTTAAATGAAAGCCTGCTAAAATGGCCTGATGTGTTTTCTTTCCTTCTTTTAAAATGTTACACAGTTGGGTTATTTAAATCTCTTTTGTACTTACTGCATTTTTCTCTGTCTGAGGGGCTAATAATTAACTGAACTATAGTCCAGTACAGTAGCATCTAACTGTCCTACATTCTGTAGCAAATTTCTGTCTTCCTAAACTTGATGAAAATCCTTCATTATAGCCCTTAACTTGGTTCTATACCTGAGTTTTAATTTAATATCTATAGACCTGGCTTCTGGCCTAGTAATTTTACAGTGTAATTTTATTTTTTGAGAAAATCTTGAAGAAAGGGTAGCTTATATAGAAAGTAAGGTGACACTTAGTAGAAAGAGAAAAATTCAAGAATGATAAGTTTTAGAAGGTTAAAGTTTTTGAGAGACATTATTTTAAGACTAAAATTTTGTTTTGAGGTCTCAGCTTGCCAGTTGAAGAAACTACAATAACTGTTGGCTGCTTCATGTTTTGCCTCCTAATTTTTTGAGCTCCTTTTATGCATATTAATTATTGATTTTAACACCTCAGAAGTTTCCCACAATGGCCAGTGTTGTTCTAAGTTAAAACTTTCTTTGCCATTCACTAAGGAAAGTGCAAGAGTTAGGATTATAATGCAATTTTGTATAAGAAGCCAAAGTTCCTCCAGAAGGAGGTTGACACTTGAGCATAGCATGACACATAGAGGCCACTTTGGCTGGTCAGTAGTGTGCATTTGTGAATGGTGTCTCAGGTCACCTGACCAAGCAGAGGCTAGGAAGGGTCTATGGTCAGAGACCTGACAGTCATTGACTGCAGAATAAAGACTATTAAAGTGACCTTTTTCACAAATGACAAATGACTTGATAGGGTTTGCCCTTATGAAGAGCACAATTTCTGTATAACATAAAATATATCCATTGGATGTGTACTTTTTTTCCCCACTATAAATTCAGGGTGTTTTAAATACATTCTGATTATGTCTGCAAATCATACATGTATGATCGCACACACACACATATGTGTGTGTGTGTATATATATATATGTAATTATATAATTATATATATTTACACGCATTGTATTTTTTGAATATTATAAATTCACTTTTGAGTTTGTTCTACCTTAACAGAATCAAAACCACAGATGTTCTTAGATGTTTTTTCTTCCGAGACAGTGAGCAATCCAGTAACAAATGTAGCTTAAGCGTATCTGTGTTAACGTGAAACTAAAATAAGATGCTATGCCAGTTTTGTTTTGAATCTTGATTTTCATTTTTAATTATACATATTCCTTTAGAAATGAGTTGCACAATTGAGAAGGCACTTGCTGATGCTAAAGCCCTTGTTGAAAGACTGAGAGATCACGACGATGCAGCAGAATCTCTGATTGAGCAAACCACAGCTCTCAACAAGCGAGTAGAAGCTATGAAGCAGGTTTGATGTTTTTCCTTGCTGATTCCATTTTTAAAAAGCAGTCATTGATATTTATGTGTTGCTTGAATTGTAAACTTCTGCTTAATTAGTATTTTATTATTTTTTAATGTTCTCTAAAATTTAAAAGTAGCTTGACTTGTGTGTTTCAGTTTACTTTAGATTGAAATGTAATTTTGTCAAGTTCAACTGGCATGTATATATGTAGATATTCTAAAACATATAGACTTGATTACTTTTCTGACAGTGAGGCACATTTGAGTTTGGAAAATACATGAATTTTTTAGGTCTAGATACATTTGACAAAGACCAGATAATATCTTTCACTATATAATTGACACATATTTTGCTCTGTCTCCTATTTTTATAATGTAGAAATATTTTTCTTTATAGGAGTATTTAGGTGACACTATTTAACAATAAAATAGTTTTTGAAAATGATGCAAAGCCATATCTGGTTTCCACCTTTTGCAGTTACTGCATTTGTACTTGCTACCTTATTTTTCATTTAATGCTGCCAGTTAAAGAAGAAATAAAAAGGACTTCACTTCTTGTTATCCTTACTGTTGTATATAAGAACTTTACAGTGAGCTACTATTTTAAGACCTCTTTTGATAAAGAGTTGCAACTCTAAGAGAGTTATAAAATCTCTGATATTATGATGGAAATCACTGGAGGAAAATATATATTCATAGCTTACTCTCTAGAAATGCATCACCCCTTTTGTAAAAGGAAGCAACCCAGGGTTACTGCTTTTAACAAAGCTGCTGAAAATAGTGAAGGAAGTTTACTTATTTTGTTTTGCAACTCTGTTGCCCTAAGCACATTACATACGTCCCTGTCTACCTTGATTCATGCATTCCAGTGAACATATATATCTGGTATTGAGTTGTAAAAAAGGGGGGTTGACAACCAGAGTTAAGAACCATACCATAAAGTTTACCCTTTTGAAGAGTGCAGGTCATTGGATTTTAGTATATTCACATGCTGTGCAACCATAATTACTATCTAGTTTGAGAACACTTCATTACCCCAAAAGCCCATATCCCTTAGTAGCTACTCCCTAGGTCTCCCTTTCCCTGGCCGCTGGAAACTACAAATCTGTCTGTCTCCATGGATTTGCCTATTTTAGACATTTCATATGAATGGAATCATACAATATGTGGCTTTTTGTGACTTTTTTTAACGTAATGTTTTCAGGTTTCATCGATGTTGTAGCATGTATCAGTACTTGATTCCTTTTTATTGCTAAATAATATTCATTGTAAGGATACAGCACATTGTGTTTATCTGTTCATTGGTTGATGGACATTTGGATTGTTTCTATTTTTTGGCTATTATGTATAATACTGCTATGAATACTTGTTTGTAAGTTTCTATGTGGACATATGTTTTCAATTTTCTTGGGTATATACCTAGTTCAATTAGAATGGATGGGTCTTAAAAATCTATATTTAACTTTTAGAGCATCTGCCTGACTGTTTTCCAGAGCAGGCACATCATTTTACATTCCCATGAACAGTATATGAGAGTGATTTCTCCACATCCTCTCCAACACTTGTTATTACTTGCTTTTTGATTAAGCTCATCCTAGTCGTTGTGAAGTGGTATCTCCTTGTTACACTGAATTGTATTTCCTGAATGACTTATGATGTTAAGCATCTTTCATGTGTTTATTGGCCATTTGTGTATTTTCTTTAGAGAAATGTCTCTTCAAATCCTTTACCCATTTTTTTCTAGCTTTACTGAGATATACTTGACATACAACATTGTGTAACTTTAAGGTGTACAATATATATTGATATATGTATATTTTGTGAAAAGATTACCTACCACAATGAGGCTAGTTAATACCTCCATCCCCTCACATAATTACCGTTCGTGTGTGTGTGTGTGTGTATACATTTAAGATGTGTTCTCTTGGCAACTTGCAAGTATATAATACAATATTGTTAACTCTAGACACCATGATGTACATTACATTCTCAGAACTTACTTGTTTGCCCATTTTTAAATTGAGTTATTTTTCCTTTTATTGAGTTGTATTGAGTTGAGTTGTAAGGGTTCTTTATCAAATATACATACGTGTGTGTGTGTGTGTGTGTGTGTGTGTGTGTGTATCAGATACATATTTTCAAATATTTTCTCTTTCATTTTAATAAAAATCTTTTCATTAGTATCAAGAAGAAATTCAAGAACTTAATGAAGTTGCAAGACATCGGCCACGGTCCACATTAGTTATGGGTATCCAGCAAGAAAACAGACAAATCAGAGAATTGCAACAAGAGAACAAAGGCAAGCTATATTATCACTGTGTATACCAAATCAAAAGAGAACTTTAATCTGCAACTGTACTATCAACTTGGAACCAATTACTATTTTTTAAAATGGGAAAAAAGGGAATTTCCTGGTGGTCCAGCAGTTATGTCTCTGCACTTTCACTGCCATGGGCCCGGGTTCAGTACCTGCTTGGGGAACTAAGATTCCACAAGCTGTGCGGCATGGTCAATAAATAAATAAATTAAATTAAATGGGAAAATAGCCAGTTAAAGTTACTTTGTGACATTTCTAGTCCATTATGCCTAAATCGTAGTTATTGCTCTTTTTTTTTTAAACATCTTCATTGGAGTAAAATTGCTTTGCAATGTTGTGTTAGTTTCTGCTGTATAACAGTGAATCAGCTATACATATACGTATAACCCCATATCCCCTCCCTCTTGCATCTCATTCCCACCCTCCCTATCACACCCCTCTAGGTGGTCACAAAGCACTGGGCTCATCTCCCTCTGCTATGCAGCTGCTTCCTACTAGCTATCTATTTTGCATTTGGTAGTGTATATATGTCATTGCCACTCTCTCACTTCATCCCAGTTTACCCTTCCCCCTCCCCATGTCCTCAAGTCCATCCTCTACGTCTGCGTCTTTATTCCTGTCCTGCCCCTAGGTTAGTTGGAACCATTTTTTTTTTTTTTTTAGATTCCATACATATCTGCTAGGATACGGTATTTGTTTTTCTCTTTCTGACTTACTTCACTCTGTATGACAGACGCTAGGTCCATCCACCTCACTACAAATAGCTCAGTATCATTTCTTTTTATGGCTGAGTAATATTGCATTATATACATGTGCCACATCTTCTTTATCCATTCCTCTCTTGATGGACATCTAGGCTGCTTCCATTGTCTGGCTATTGTAAACAGTGCTGCAATGAACACTGGGGTGCATGTGTCTTTTTGAATTATGGTTTTCTCTGGGTATGTGCCTAGTAGTGGGATTGCTGGGTCATATGGTAGTTCTATTTTTAGTTTTTTAAGGAACCTCCATATTGTTCTCCATAGTGGCTGTATCAATTTACATTCCCACCAACAGTGCAAGAGGATTCCTTTTCTCCAAACCCTCTCCAGCATTTATTGTTTGTAGATTTTTTGATGATGGCCATTCTGACTGGTGTGAGGTGATAGCATCCTTTCATGTGTTTGTTGGCAATCTGTATATCTTGTTTGGAGAAATGCCTATTTAGGTCTTCTGCCCATTTTTGGATTGGGTTGTTTATTTTTTTAATATTGAGCTGCGTGAACTGCTTGTACATTTTGGAGATTAATCCTTTGTCAGTTGCTTCATTTGCAAATATTTTCTCCCATTCTGAGGGTTGTCTTTTCATCTTGTTTATGGTTTCCTTTGCTGTGCAAAAGCTTTGAAGTTTCGTTAGGTCCCATTTGTTTATTTTTATTTCCATTTCTCTAGGAGGTAGGTCAAAAAGGATCTTGCTGTGATTTATGTCATAGAGTGTTCAGCCTATGTTTTCCTCTAAGAGTTTTATAGTGTCTGGCCTTAAATTTAGGTCTTTAATCCATTTTGAGTTTATTTTTATATATGGTGTTAGGGAGTGTTTTAATTTCATTCTTTTACATGTAGCTGTCCAGTTATCCCAGCACCACTTATTAAAGAGACTGTCTTTTCTCCATTGTATATTCTTGCCTCCTTTATCAAAGATAAGGTGACCATATGTGTGTGGGTTTACCTCTTGGCTTTCTATCCTGTTCCATTTATCTATATTTCTGTTTTTGTACCAGTACCATACTGTCTTCATTACTGTAGCTTTGTAGTATAGTCTGAAGTCTGGGAGCCTGATTCCTCCAGCTCCATTTTTTTTCTCAAGATTGCTTTGGCTATTTGGGGTCTTTTGTGTTTCCATACAAATTGTGAAATTTTTTGTTCTCGTTCTGTGAAAAATGCCTTTGGTAGTTTGGTAGGGATTGCTTGGAATCTGTAGATAGCTTTGAGTAGTATGGTCATTATCACAATGTTGATTCTTCCAATACAGGAACATGGTATATCTTTCCATCTGTTTGTATCGTCTTTAATTTCTTTCATCAGTGTCTTGTTGTTTTATGCATACAGGTCTTTTGTCTCCTTAGGTAGGTTTAGTCCTAGGTATTTTATTCTTTTTGTTGCAATGGTGAATGGGAGTGTTTCCTTAATTTCTGTTTCAGATTTTTCATCATTAGTGTATAGGAATGTAAGAGATTTCTGTGCATTAATTTTTATCACATTCATTGATTAGCTCTAGTAGTTTTCTGGTAGCATCTTTAGGATTCTCTCTGTATAATATCATGTCATCTGCAAACCATGACAGTTTTACTTCTTTTCTGATTTGGATTCCTTTTTCTTGTCTGATCGCTGTGGCTAAAACTTGCAAAACTATGTTGAATAATAGTGGTGAGAGTGAGCAACCTTGTCTTGTTCCTGATCTTAGTGGAAATGGTTTCAGTTTTTCACCATTGAGGACGATGTTGGCTGTGGGGTTATGGCCTTTATTATGTTGAGGTAAGTTCCCTCTATGCCTACTTTCTGGAGAATTTTTTTCATAAATGGGTGTTGAATTTTGCCAAAAGCTTTTTCTGCATCTGTTGAGATCATCATATGGTTTTTCTCCTTCAATTTGTTAATATGGTATATCACATTGATTTGAGTATATTGAAGAATCCTTACATTCCTGGGATAAACCCCACTTGATCATGGTGTATGATCCTTTTTAATATGCTGTTGGATTCTGTTTGCTAGTATTTGTTGAGGACTTTTGCATCTATGTTCATCAGTGATGTTGGCCTATAGTTTTCTTTTTTTGTGACATCTTTGTCTGGTTTTGGTATCAGGGTGATGCTGGCCTCGTAGAATGAGTTTAGGAGTGTTCCTCCCTCTGCTATATTTTGGAAGAGTTTGAGAAGGATAGGTGTTAGCTCTTCTCTAAATATTGGATAGAATTCGCCTGTGAAGCCATCTGGTCCTGGGCTTTTGTTTGTTGGAAGATTTTTAATCAGAGTTTCAATTTCAGTGCTTGTGATCTGTCTGTTTATATTTTCTATTTCTTCCTGGTTCAGTCTCGGAAGGTTGTGCTTTTTTAAGAATTTGTCCATTTCCTCCAGGTTGTCCATTTTATTGGCATAGAGTTGCTCGTAGTATCCTCTCATGATCCTTTGTATTTCTGCAGTGTCAGTTTTTACTTCTCTGTTTTCATTTCTAATTTTGTTGATTTGAGTCCTCTCCCTTTTTTTCTTGATGAGCCTGGCTAATGGTTTATCAATTTTATTTATCTTCTTTACGAACCAGCTTTTAGTTATATTGATCTCGCTATTGTTTCCTTCATTTCTTTTTCATTTATTTCTGATATGATCCGTATGATTTCTTTCCTTCTGCTAACTTTTGGGGGTTTTCTTGTTCTTCATTCTCTAATTGCTTTCGTTGTAAGGTTAGGTTGTTTATTTGAGATTTTTCTTGTTTCTTGAGGTAGGATTGTATTGCTGCAAACTTCCCTCTTAAAACTGGTTTTGCTGCATCCCATAGGTTTTTGGTCATCATATTTTCATTGTCATTTGTTTCTAGGTAATTTTTAATTTCCTCTTTGATTTCTTTAGGGATCTCTTGGTCATTTATAGTGTATTGTTTGGCCCCCATGTGTTTGTATTTTTTACAGTTTTTTTCCTGTAATCAATATGTAGTCTCATAGTGTTATGGTCAGAAAAGATACTTGATAAGACTTCAATTTTCTTAAATTTACCAAGGCTTCATTTGTGACCCTAGATATGGTCTAGGAGAATGTTCCATGAACACTTGAGAAGAACATGTATTCTGTTGTTTTTGGATGGAATGTCCTATAAATATCAATTAAGTCCATCTTGTTTAATGTGTCATTTAAAGCTTGTGTTTCCTTATTTATTTTCATTTTGGATGATCTGTCCATTGGTGAAAGTGGGGTGTTAAAGTCCCCTACTATTATTGTGTTACTGTCGATTTCCCCTTTTATGGCTGTTAGCATTTGCCTGATGTATTGAGGTGCTCCTATGTTGGGTGCATAAATATTTACAGTTGTTACATCTTCTTCTTGGATTGATCCCTTGATCATTATGTGGTGTCCTTCTTTGTCTCTTGTAATAGTCCTTATTTTAAAGTCTATTTTTTCTGATACGAGAATTGCTACTCCAGCTTTCTTTTGATTTCCATTTGCATGGAATATCTTTTTCCATCCCCTCACTTTCAGTCTGTATCTGTCCCTAGGTCTGAAGTGGGTCTTTTGTAGACAGCATATATATGGGTCTTGTTTTTGTATACATTCAGCCAGTCTATGTCTTTTGGTTGCAGCATTTAATCCATTTACACTTAAGGTAATTATCGATATGTATGTTCCTATTCCCATTTTCTTAAATGTTTTGGGTTTGTTATTGGAGGTCTTTTCCTTCTCTTGTGTTTCCTGCCTAGAGAAGTTCCTTTAGCATTTGTTGTAAAGCTGGTTTGGTAGTGCTGAATTCTCTTAGCTTTTGCTTGTCTGTAAAGGTTTTAAGTCCTTCTTTGAATCTGAATGAGATCCTTACTGGGTAGAGTAATCTTGGTTGTAGGTTTTTCCCTTTCATCAGTTTAAATATGTCCTACCACTCCCTTCTGGCTTGCAGAGTTTCTGCTGAAGGATCAGCTGTTAACCTTATGGGGATTCCCTTGTATGTTATTTGTTGCCTTTCCCTTGTTGCTTTTAATATTTTTTCTTTGTATTTATTTTTTGATAGTTTGATTGATATGTGTCTTGGCGTGTTTCTTCTTGGATTTATCCTGTATGGGACTCTCTGCACTTCCTGGTCTTGATTGACTATTTCCTTTCCTATGTTAGGAAAGTTTTCAGCTATAGTCTCTTCAAATCTTTTCTCAGACCCTTTCTTTTTCTCTTTTTCTTCTGGGACCCCTATAATTTGAATGTTGGTGTGTTTAATGTTGTCCCAGAGGTCTCTGAGATTGTCCTCAATTCTTTTCATTCTTTTTTCTTTATTCTGCTCTGCAGTAGTTATTTCCACTATTTTATTTTCCAGGTCACTTATCCGTTCTGTCTCAGTTATTCTGCTATTGATTCCTTCTAGAGAATTTTTAATTTCATTTATTGTGTTGTTCATCATTGTTTGTTTGCTCTTTAGTTCTTCTAGTCCGTGTTAAACGTTTCTTGTATTTTCTCCATTCTGTTTCCAAGATTTTGGATCATGTTTGCTATCAAAACTCTGAATTCTTTTTCAGGTAGACTGCCTATTTCCTCTTCATTTGTTAGGTCTGGTGGGTTTTTACCTTGCTCCTTCTTCTGCTGCATATTTCTCTGTCTTCTCATTTTGTTTAACTTTGGGGTCTCCTTTTCGCAGGCTGCAGGTTCATAGTTCCTGTTGTTTCTGGTGTCTTTCCCCTGTGGGTGAGGTTGGTTCAGTGGTTGTGTAGGCTTCCTGGTGGAGGGGACTGGTTCCTGTGTTCTGGTGGGTGGGGCTGGATCTTATCTTTCTGGTGGGCAGGGCCACATCTGGTGGTGTGTTTTGGGATGTCTGTGAACTTAGTATGATTTTAGGCAGCCTCTCTCCTAATGGGTGGGGTTGTGTTCCTGTCTTGCTAGTTGTTTGGCATGGGGCGTACAGCACTGGAGCTTGCTGGCTGTTGGGTGGAGCTGGGTCTTAGCGTTGAGATTGGAGATCTCTGGGAGAGCTCTCGCCAATTGATACTACGTGCGGCTGGGAGGTCTCTGGTGGTCCAGTGTCCTGAACTCAGCTCTCCCAGCTGAACTCAGCTCTCCCACCTGACACCAGGACCAAGCTCCAAGACCCTGTCAACCACACGGCTGCTGTATTACTTAGGGTTCCACTAGGAAACAGCACGCTTAGCTGGGACTTTGAGGAAAAGGCAGTGAAGGCACTATTTCAGGAATGTGGAAGCAAACAACAAGGAATGTTGAGGCACCCACGGACTAGCAGCCATACCTACACATTTCCTGACTCACTCCATCTTCACTTCTTCTCCATTCTTGCTGCTATCACACATCTATTTTTTGTTTCTGCTGGGTCACACATCACTCTTTTTACAGTTGAATTTTATTAAATTGGAGAAATATTTTATCCTTTGCAGAGTCTCAGTTTCTCCATCCAGATGATGGAATGGATAATATCCTCTTCTCAGATTTGGATGAGGATTAAGATAGCATATTTTTAATGGACCTGACACTCTACATCTCCTCCCTTGTATCAGCCAGTACTCTCAGTACTAAGTAATAAAACTATTTTAGCTTAGCTATGAAAGGCAATTTCATTTGTGCTATGTGACTCAAGCGTGGAAGACAGAGGTGCACGGTGCTAGCTGGAAGCCAGGCAGAAGCCTGAAGTCAGATTGCTCCCATGTGAAGTTAGTTGGAGCCCATGCAGAACCAGAACCACAGACAGCTGAGGGCAAAAGGCTCTGATGTGGTGATTAAGAGGCATGTGATCAAGGTAGCTCCCCAGATAGAGAGGATATTTATTGCTCTTTATCCTTTCCTACATATGAATGTCTACCTTACTTGGATCTTAGACTCTCACCCTCAGTATCCAGCTTGCACCATTGTCATTACCTATGAAATAACTCAGTTTCATTCTTGGCAGTCCCACCACTTTGGCCCACAACTTAGGTGTTCATAGTCTCTTGCCTGAACTGTCCTCATTGGTCTCCCTGATTTCGGTGTGTTTTCCCTCCAGTCCATCTTCAACACAGGCATCAGATTGATTTTTCAAAAATATATCTGATTATGTTATTCTTTTGCTTGAGAACCTTCACTGTGTACTATTTTCTTATCCATCGTCCTTCAAAGTCGACTCCAAGCCTTCTTTTTTTGTATTCTTCCCATACTTCTCTTCTCCGTGAAACCCTTGCTCTTGTCACCCTGAACGATTTCCCAAACACACCATCCAGTTTCATGCCTCCCTGCTTAGAATGCCCTGTCGTTTATTTTTCATTTCAAGGAATGCAAGTTGATCTCAATACCATACTTCTGTGAAGCTTTCACCAATTTTTCCTCACAGACTTTCTGTATGTATTTGGATAGAGCTCCACTCTACACTTACCACATTGTATTTTAATTATTTATGTTTTGTTTTCTCCACTAGACTCTGAGCTTTATGGCCTTTTGGTATTCCTAATATAGAGCATGATCTGATACTTAATCCCTGTTCAGTAAATATTTGTTAAAATGATTTCTCAAAAACTGAGTTTAAAATGGTCATTTTGAGAACTAATAAAGGACTCCATTTGGTATCATTTCTTTCTTTTTTTTTTTTTTTTTTTTTCTGCTGTACGCGGGCCTCTCACTGTTGTGGCCTCTCCCGTTGTGGAGCACAGGCTCTGAACGCACAGGCTCAGCAGCCATGGCTCATGGGCCCAGCCGCTCCGTGGCATGTGGAATCTTCCTGGACCGGGGCACGAACCCGTGTCCCCTGCATTGGCAGGTGGACTCTGAACCACTGTGCCACCAGGGAAGCCCCAGTATCCTTTATTTCTATGTGGCTAGATTTTTGTACCTCATATTTTCTTTTTAAAATACCCCCTTTATAAATTGCTTTTTTGATTAATGTGGAAGAGAATACTTTGTACACCCTGAACTCAAGTTTGAATAAAATATACTGTTGTTTTTGATAGAATTACGTACATCCCTGGAAGAACATCAGTCTGCCTTGGAACTTATAATGAGCAAGTATCGAGAGCAAATGTTTAGATTGCTAATGGCTAGCAAAAAAGATGATCCAGGGATAATAATGAAGTTAAAAGAGCAGCACACCAAGGTAATCCTTTCTGTAAATATAATTTGAAATAGAAAAGGAGGACAATTGGTTAACTTGTGTTCAGATTTTTTAAAAAAATCATAGGAATCTTACTTACATGATATTGAATACTTCTCTTTTTGACATTTTCTTCTTATTTTTTTCATGTTATGTGTCATTTTCTGTTTGATTTACTCTTCTAACTCCCATTCTTCCCTAGTAGCTTTAATATATATTAAAAAATAAACTTTATTTGGGAAATAAAGGTAAGTCTGTTCAATTCAAAATTATTTTTATAAGGTTATCTGCTTGTAAGAAATACTTCTTTTAATTTGTGTATTGATATCTCTTGCAAAAATGAAAATTAAATGCTTAAAACTTTTTTAAAAATCTGAAAACAGCTAAAGGTAGATTTGTTTTTCTTAAGACTATTTTCTGAATGAGGTTAATTCATCCAGACTATAGATACTCCTGATTATTAATGGTAGTGCCATGGTGGGGGGAGAAGACATATATATGTCAAATATATGTATAGATTTATGTATATATAAAATACATTGCCTCCCCAACCCCCTCCTCCATCACATATCACTTAATATCATTTCTAGAGACAGAGCTGAACTAATAGAAATTAGTGTTTTTCCTGCTGTTCATCGTACTCATTCTGATCCCTGTGTTTACTAGCACCTGTTTTGAAAACAGGTAGAATAGTCCTTTTCCGTTTATGTTTTATTTTAAACTGACTTTTAACTACTGGTGTGAAATAAAAATATTAGAATAGATTGTGACTACTAGGCCATTATCTGTATTGGATAATGGTGAACTAACTATTAGTTATAACTAATATTATTTAAGAAATATTCATATAACATTTTTATCTTTCTCGATTATTGAAACACTTTTTAGATTCCTTAAAATGTTATATTTCTTCCATCTTGGTGCTTGTAGGTATTTTAAAATTATTAATTCTATTAAAATTAAATACCTAGTGAATTGCTTTAATATGTAAATTCAACTCTACATATTAAGGAAGTTAGTAATCGACAGCTCTTGTGTCAAATAGTAAACAGTAAAAATAAATGTGGCTTTAATATTATCTAATTATGTTATTCATCTCCTATCCAAAAAGAAACCTTGGATAGTTAAATGGCAATCTTTTGACTATAAACTGTATCTATTGTTAATGAGATCATTATAAAAAGTTTAATTTTAAATATATAATTTAAGAGGTTTTTTTAAGGTACAAATATGAACTGACTTAAAATTATTGGTAAGATAAGTATAATCTTGAGACATTCCAAAAGGCCCTTATGTTTAACAACTTAGATTTTTTTAAGATCTAAAGAGAACGCTCTGGCAAACTAGTGCTTAAGAATAAGGTACTGATGCTAGCTAGTCTCTTGTGGTAGCAGCTATGTCAGAAGCAAATGTTTTCTAAAACACATTAGATTTTACCACTCATCACAGCTGTTTTATTAATTAGCAAAGTTAAACATTTCTTAAGATAGCTGTAAATCATCCTTTTTCAATTATGTCAATTGAATTCTTCATCTAAGTGCTGATTCTTGCCTTCCATGAAATGACAGTTCAGTTACTTGTTATTAATTCTAACTAATACATATTAATGTTTGTGATTTTGATTTTTCCCAAAAAGGAGACACTTTGATTCAAACAGATATTTATTAACAAAAAGGAGACACTTTGATTCAAACAGATATTTATTAACACTTGCACTGGCTTAGTTATTATTAATAATAAGATGAATGAATAAGTTTATTACTCTACCATAGAAGCTTTCAGTGTATTGGGAGATACAGACACAAACATGATTATCTAATATAAGGTAGGATGTGATGAATCCTAAAATAGAGATCTGAATTATTACTGGAATACTAGAGGAAGCAAGGTTAGTTCTCATGAGGAGAATCTGGGAAAGTGGCAAGGAAAGGTAGCAAATCCATCTAAATCTAGCCTTGAATTAATTATTGGAGTCAACAAGCAGAAGTGGGTGAGCAGAGAAACTTGTATGATAAATATGAGCTTCCAAGATATGTTTAGGTACTAGTGCTCTGATATGCCTAAGCACAAAAATAATTTTATAACACATTTAGGGCTAATAAACAAAGTTACACGTAACAGCATTTTGGAGTAAGAGAACCTTTTGAGACTAGTGTAACATAGAATTTTGTCCTCACCTGGAAGTTTTTGAGCACACATTTAAAAACCAATAAAAAGTTTGAGGAGAACTCATTTTCATTCAAATACTCATTTTTACATTATTTTTGAACTGCTACCTTTTTGGAAATCTTAAAAAAACAAACATTTCAAACAGTTGGCTAACACGCATGAACTAACACTCATTCAGTTTTTAAATTACGGATAATATCCGTATTAACATTATAATGACTCTGTACTACAGATTGACATGGTGCATCGTAACAACTCCGAAGGATTCTTCCTTGATGCATCTCGACACATCCTTGAAGCACCTCAACATGGACTGCAGAGGAGGCACTTGGAAGCAAATCAGAATGTACACTAAATAAAACAGTCAGCTTTTGGGGTGTGGCTGGAAGGGGGGTCCATTTAAAAAGTTCTTTTACATTGAATTCTCCTCCCAAATTAAATCAGCAAATAAATGAAATTGCTTTTAAAAACGCTGTGCTTTTCATAGCCTTGCAAAAGTATTCAGTGTAGAAACTTTAAGTCTGTCATCAGTTCTCTGTGTATTGTATTATACATAGCCTGTTAGATAATTGCAGGCTTTAAAGGTTCTTTGGGCCAGCCTTTCATGTTATTGTTCTTGTTAGCTATAGATGCAAAATTTTAGGAAGTTTCAAACGGTCATCCTCTTGCTGGACATCAAAGATGTTTTCTTGGTAATAATTTTAATCTGATTTTCTAAAAATTTTGTTCAATCAAACTATTGAACTGTGTTAATTCAGATTTTCGATAGTTATAGTCCTTTAGTTTGAGTTCACAGTAAAATTGCCTTTGTTTAGGTGTTACTAAGTATAGCAGTATACCCTCTCCATTGTGTCTATTGTGTTTTAACTGCCTTTTTTTTCTTGAAAGGCATTTCAAGACAGTGCAAGGTTTATGTTGCTAGCACTTCTTGCCTTTAAGACAGTTTTGAAAGCACAGGTCTTGCCTTCTTGTGCCTATTAAGAGATCCATGACACTTCCCTGAAGATTTTATTGTAATAAGTGAACCACCCAGGAACCAGACCTATAAAAATACACTTCTGTTTGAAGTATTGGGGTTTTTTTCTTACGATGATTGTATTAAAACAGACTGTCCTGAAAAAATTAGTAGTTTCTTGTCTTCTTTCGTTTTAAAGGCAAGTAATTATCTGCTTCCTTGTAGTCGTTTAACCTAGGTCAGTGCCATAAGACACCAAGTCATAAACTGAGAAAGCTGTTGGTATTCAAAATTTTTACTCGTTACCCTTATTCAGTTTGCTGCTGCAGTTATCTATACTTAACTTGCGTTTAAACATTAGGCTCCCTTTACAGTGGGAGGGATTGTAATCATTTTTTTTTAACTACTACAGAATACGACAGATGTTTGTCTTGATATCATTCTTGCTATCATAATCTAATCCAGAGCTGTCCAATAGAACTCTCTGCAGTGATGGAAATGTTCTTTATGCTGTTCAGTATGGAAGCCACCAGCCACATGTGGCTATTAAGTACTTGATGTGTGACTAGTGTGACCTGAGGGGCTGAATTGTTAATTTCTTAAAATTGTATTTGACTTCAAGTAATTTAAATTTAAATAGTGCCATAGTGGACAGCATAATCTTTTATTTTGACTTCTTCCTGCGTACCAGCTTTTTATAGATTGTGTTAAAATAATATAAGGATCTGTATTTTTGTTGGTTAAGAAGATATTAAATGTGTGGTTTGCTAAAGATATTCCTATTCTCTATTATATTCCTTCCATAGTTTACTAGTTTTGTAGGTTTTGGGGGGTCTTGTTCAAATACTTTTTACAGAGTATATACAACTATTTAAGAGACAGTGTTTATTTGGGGAGCTATTAACTTTTATATTTAAGTTTTGTCCTTAGTATAATAAAATGACCCTCAATTGCTAGTGAACAATGGTCTGTAGAACTTGTTCATTTAAAAAAGTATTATTCTCATGTTTGTTGATTATAAACCTTTTATCTGTCTGTTTCATTGACTGTAAGCTCCTTGAAATCAGGGAACATTTCTTAACAGGCTTCATATTCCTGTCACCTAGCACAGTGCCTGGCTCATCATAGGTATGCAAAAAAGAATAAGAGAATGAGATTGGAAGAAATTTATGCTACTTGCTGTGCCAAACAAATGTGGATGTCTATTTTATACTAAAATTATATTTTGAACAGTTTGCGAAGGCCAGTTAATATTCAATACTTTAAAGAAGAACTCTGTTCATTTTACTCAATACTTATTATCTATTATGTACCTAACATTAAATAGTAGGCAAATATAAGCAATGTACAGTTCCTGCTCTCAATGAGGATTATAATCTAGAAGAGGTTCTGGATTGAATTGAGATGAATTTTTAGGCATGGAAAATACAGAAAATATTTTTAAATCATGAAGACTTCAGTGAGGAAAAGAGATTGAATGCTTATCTTTCCCATTACTTTGGTCAATGGGGTATGTAGGTGCAGAAAAGAAAAAGTTGCTGATCATTTGTGGTGAGAGGAATGTGAAATGAGTATTTTTCCTGTTTATGGGTTTAGATATACTGTGCTGCTTATCCTTAATCCTAGTCCTAACAGAAATCTGACTTCAAAAGCACATTCATGGTCAGTCAACTTTCTTGTAAATATGTTTGATATATTACATTTATGTTAAATGGCAATGCAAAGATATTACATTCATATTAAGTGGCAATGCAGATTTTATAAAAAGGGGAGGATCCAAAAATTTTAAAAAAGTATTTCACTGATTCACAACTTCCATCTCTTTTTTTTCAGGAATTACAAGCACACGTTGACCAGATAACTGAAATGGCAGCAGTAATGAGGAAAGCCATTGAAATCGATGAGCAACAGGGTTGCAGGGAACAGGAACGAATATTTCAACTTGAGGTAAGTTTTAAATTGCACATGTAGGTGAAAACTGTCCATACAAAGATTTATGCCAGAAAATATATCCCACTTTAAAATATATACTTTCTGGGGACTTCCTGGCGGTCCAGTGGTTAAGACTTCACCTTCTATGCAGGGGGTGCGGGTTTGATCCCTGGTCAGGGAGCTAAGATCCCACATGCCTTGTGGCCAAAAGAACCAAAATATAAAAAAAAACAGAAGCAATATTGTAACAAATTCAATAAAGACCTTAAAAATGGTCCCAAAAAAATCTTAAAAAAATAATATATGTATGTATATGTATATATATACACACACACTTTCTGGGATACTAGTAATGTTCTTTTTCCTAATCTGGATACTGGTTATATGGGTGTATAATGCAAGACCATTTATATAGTAATGCAAGAGTCTAGGATCAATAGTAAACTTATACCAGTAATTGAGAAAATTGATTTTTTTTTTTTATCCTGTGTCTCTTCTGTTATTAGGTGAATATACGTCTTCAGCTTAGTAATTTTTTTTAATATCTTTATTTTATTAGAGGTCACAGTGATGCAGGGAGAAATGGTTTCAGTCCACAAATCATATTCTTTGGCCACTTGTATTTTTCTGGGGAATATAAAAGCTTTTATCGCATCTGTCCTTTATTTTGTGGTAGCAGAAGCACAAGTCATTGTTGAATAACTGAAATCAGTAGAGTAGACCTTTATACTTTTAAAACCTTTCTTTTGAAATCATGGTGGAGAAATTGGTTATAGAGGGCCAAAAATGATTTCTCTAAGTGTACAAAGTTCTCTCATTCTTTATAACAAAGGTAAACAAACTTTTTCAGTGAAAGGCCAGATAGTAAATCTTTTAAGCTTTGCAAACAGGCAGTCTCTATTGTAGCTACTCACCTCTGGCATTGTAATGAAAAAGCAGCTATACACACAAAAAATAAGATGGGACTCAACTGTGTTCCAGTAAAGTTTAATTTACAATAACAGGCCTCACTCAAGCCAGGCCATAGTTTGCTGATCTTTGCTTTATTTATACCATTGAAACTTAGAAAGTAAGACCAAAAGACAAAGCAGTAGAGAATAACTTATGAGAGTTATTTGTAAATGTCTAAAAATTTCTTGCAGTAACTAATCTAGAAGGAAAGGGCAAAGGCAAAGTTGTTTACCAGTGCTAGATTTGGTCACTTAACTTTCCTTCTAAGAAATATCACAATCTATTCAGCCAGCCCTGCTGCTGTTAAATTCCAGTGAGGGAAGCAAACCAGGCCTTGCCCTGCATTCCATGCTATCATGGAAATAATCAAATTACTAAAGTACTGAGAGCTTTTAGCCCCAGGGTATTATTCAGACTTTCTGAGTTTACACAAATATAAATCTAGGTGTTATTTTCTTACTGTGATTTTCTATACTGTGATTATAAAATAGGGCTGTTTCTGAGGTTCTGTCTACAGTTACAGCTGCATAAATAAAAAGGCTTTTCAGTGGTGGAAGACATTGAACACATGATTCCTACCTCTTTAAAAAAGTGTTCCGTGGATTCAAGTTGTCAACTTCAGCTGCATATATCATTGAATACATTTCTGCCAATTACAGTACTTGCTTTTTATTTATCATACCTTCATGTGTTTGGCTTTTCTTAAGATATGTTTGTACTCTTGTAGCCACCTCGGTGACTGCTTCTTTGTTTTTGTGCTTTCTTATAGCAAGAAAATAAAGGCTTGAGAGAGATCCTTCAAATAACTCGAGAATCATTCTTGAATCTTAGAAAAGATGATGTGTCGGAAAGTACATCTTTATCAGCATTAGTGACCAATAGTGACCTGAGTCTGAGGAAGAGCTGAAGAGCTTTTAAGTCTGTGAATGAATTAACAGAAAAATCCATCTCAAGCTGCCCTTTGTTTTATTTTTTATAATATGTACAGTGCACTGGCAATGACATTTTTAAAAGACAGCAACAAGAAAATGCATAGTTAATGGTCATAGACGTTATTCCAAACTATAATTGAAAAATAGAAACTAAGCCTTTGTTAATTGGTGAACAAGTTAAAGATTTTCACAGTGACTGCTGAATGTATCAAGAGCTTTCAGCAGTGCTGCTGGCTTTCTGGTTGACACTTGGATAAACATGAATATGCCCGACAAGTGTCTGGGAATTAATAGAAACATCCCAATTTTAAAATACAAATTTTGCCACAGTATTGTGAATGGAAAATCGTCATACTAAATTATATCCTCCCTGTATGGTGAAAGTTAGCAAGTAGCTTATGTACCATGAGACTTCAGCTTTAATGATTGCCTATCTACCTTCTCATTAATTTAAATTTTTGTCAAAGAAAGTTCAGTTTGAAAGACTTAGGAATGTTTTATATGCACCATAAATAAAAGAGGTAATTTAATTTTAGCTAATTTATCCTAATTAATACTAACAGTTGTCCATGATTTGCTTAAGTATATGAAATATTTCAGGAATGAAAGAGAAGGAATACTACTTTCTAAGAAAGAAGAGCTTATAAGAGACATACTTAGTAGGTTAAACTACTTCTTTGAAAGCATAAGTTTTGGTTCTAAATCAGTAATGGAGATGAGATTTTTCTCTTCTCTGTTTGATCTTTAAGGATATTATGTAGTTCATTTAGCTAAGAGTTGAAATGTTTGATACAGCAAGATAAGTATGGTAATTTCACAGTAAATTGGGAATTCCTCTGCCTCGAAACCTTTTTTTTTCCCTTAAGTAAGTACGCTTAAGACATATAGAAACCGTAAGTTAAAATTTAAAAAAAATTTTTTTCTAGATCTATTCTTAAGTTCCATCTGGTTCTCATAACCTACAAGATGTTTCTTGTAACCTTTCAGTCAAAGGGCTAGGGGGTGGTGAGGGGGAAATCTGGATTTATAAGTATTTGTTTTATTTTTTACAGAATATATATCCAGTATATAAATTTTTAAAAGCTGCTAGAAATAGAAATGTGCTTTAACATCAGTTGAAATCTAAATTTTTCATGTTTTGTCCTGATTATAGAAGAAAAAGGTAAGAGTGTCAAATATGATTATTAAATATACTGTACTCACATTAAATATATATTAAAAATAGCACAGTAGAAAATTCTACTTTGGAGTATATAATTTGTTAAAGTAATATTTACATGGTAACTTTTATGTATAATTTCATATATTGGTAAAATTCAAAACTACTTTTCACTTCGGAATTTTTTATCTTAAGTTTGGGGAAAGTGGGGTTGATGGGACTGATTGAATAGAAAAGGGCTAATGGCCCAAACATTAAATAGATTTCTTTTCTCATTCAGAGGCCCTAATTGTTATTTGGTAAACAAGTGACAGTTTTTATTTTTCAACTTTTCTGTTGGTTTTGGGGAAAGTATCCTTTAGTTTGATGCCACATTCATTCATAGAGTTTTTATCCCAAGTCAGAATTGAAATAAGCTACACAATTGAGAGTAAGTCTGAGGCAATTCATTGGGGCAGCTCTATTATAAAACATTACTTGATAAATAATTATTTTTGTAAACAGATAAGTTGAGTTAATTTATTCTTGGTCTTCTTACTTGGATATTATTTTAAGAAGTTGGTGTTTAAAGACATTTATGTTATTATATAGCAAGTGTTCTAGCCCATACTTTTTTTTTTAAGCAGAACCTTAAAATTTATGTCTGAGAATATGTACTACTAGGAACCTATTTTATCAATAAAGATGAGCGATTAAAATTGGTATGGTATCCAAGTTTATTTTTTCTTACCAGAAACTTAGTACCTAGCAACAGCTTCTATCTGTATTTCTTAGGAATTGGCCAGCAACTTATTGCTGACTTGGCAGACCTTTTGATCATCTGTGGTGGGTTTAATAGTGTCCCCCAGAAGTATGCCCAGTTCCTAACCTGTTGTACGTGTGGATGAGAGCATACTTGCAGATAGAGTCTTTGCAGATTTAAGGATCTCAGGATAAGATCATCCTGGATTTAGTATGGGCCCCAAATCCAATGAGTGTTGTCCTTATAGGAGAGGGGGAGATTTGAATCACACAAGGAGAAAGTCATGTGAAGACAGAGGCAGAGGGTTTTGCAAATCAAGGAGCCCTAAGGTTTATGAGGGGCCAGGAGAGATGCATGGAGTGACCTCGGCTCCCTCAGAGCCTCCAGGAGGGACCAACCCTGCTTGATTTCAGACTTCTGGCCTGTCAAACCAAAGGCTGATGTGAGAGCAAGTGAATGAATTTCTCAAATACTAACTTCCCCTAGAATATGTTCATTTTAAGACCTACCTCAGTGATTATAAGGTTTTTGTTCCTAGCTCATGCAGACTCTAGCATGTATAGAATACAAGAAGTGAAAACCATCTCTATTCAGTAGAAAGAAAATCACTGGTATCTATCATTGAAGGGATTCAGGAGGGAGAGCTGGTTTGGAAGAAAGGTTGAGTAGCTCTACTTGTGGAATGGGAAGTTGTCCTCTGTTGGAAAAACCTTCCGACGTTAATAAGCAAAATGAGAGAGTGCATTTTTTGTCTTCTTTTTCAGAGAAAGGCCTTCAATCCCATCCCTGAAATTAGTCCCCTAAAACAACGGTCCCCAACCTTTTTTTGGCACCAGGGACTGGTTTCGTGGAAGACAGTTTTTCCACGGACGGCGGGGGTGTCGGGTGGGGGGCTGGTGTCAGGATGATTCAAGCGCATTACATTTACCGTGCACTTTATTTCTAGTCTTATTACATTGTAATATATAATGAGATAATTATACAACTCACATCATGCAGAATCAGTGGGAGCCCTGAGCTTGTTTTCCTGCAACTAGATGGTCCATCTGGGGGGGATGGGAGGCAGTGACACCCAAGTGTGCTGCTTATGTTCAGTCTACTCCGTGATCTCGCTTTGGTCGCCGTCACTGCAGAAAACCCTGCTTCACAAAGACAGGATGCTGGAAATGGAAGCAGGCCTTTCAGTGCTTTTGTGGCAATCTCAGGATATTCCGCCTTGACTTTAATCCAGACCGTATGGAGATTTGAAGTTGTCTCACACATACTTTTAAGGCCACCGTCATTTGCGATCTCAAGCAGTTGATCCTCTTCTAGCACGGACAAAGTCAATTCACCTGGCTTATTCTCAAATGGGTCGCAGATCCATTCCTTCCCAGTTCGGGCTTTTGTGGTTAAGAAGTCATGCTCAAACTCTTGAAAGCTGAGACAGGTGATCATGCCCCAGCTGGGAGAAAGAAGGCCCTGGCTCAGTCTCTTTTAAAATCTCTGCTAATGTTTGAAACATGTCAAAAATCCCAATGTTCACTTGTCGCCCCCATAATTTCAGTTTGGCTTTGAAGGCAGCCACTTTATCTGCTGACTTGAACACAGTTGTCGTTCTCCCCTGAAGTGACATTGCGTTCGTTGAGCAGGTTGACTATGTCACACAAGTAAGCAAGTTTTGCGACCCATTCTGTGTCACTGAAATGTGCTGCCAGTGGTGACTTTTTCTAAAAGTAATCTCTGGAGCGGCTCTTGTAAAAAAAACTCTGGCCAGTAATCTACCTCTAGAAAGCCATCTCACTTCTGTGTATCGGAGAAGACGTGTGTGCTCTGCACCCATCTCCTCACAGAGCTGCGTGAACAGACGTGAGTTAAGGGCATGTACTTTAATGTGGTTGATAATTTTAATCACATCCTACAAAACAGTTAAGTTCAGGTGACATTTTTCGGCTAGCCAGCATTTCTCTATGGATGACACAGTGCATAGACTCACATTCAGAAGCGACCTCTTTGACCTGAGTAGTGAAACCAGAAAGCCATCCAGTCATGGCAGCCGCTCTGTCTGTGCATATACCGACACAAAGTGACCAATTCAGTTTTCCTGATATGTAATCAATCATTCAAAGACTTGAATAGTTCTGCAGCTGTGGTGTTGGCTGGCAACAAAAGTGCACATAACATATCCTCATGCACGTCCTCCTGAAAAACATATCGCACAAAAGTGAGTATTGTTGCCTTGTTGTCAACATCGGTAGACTCGTCAGCCTGGATTGCATACCATGGTGACTCATTAGTCCTCTCCAACAACTGCGCCTCAGTATCCTCTGCTATTTCATTAATTTGTCTAGTTATGGTGCTAGCCGAAAGAGGAACACGTGCCACCTTTTGAACTGCAGCCTCTCCTAAAAGATCACGACAAATGTCCTTAGCAGCAGGCAGGATCAACTCTTCACCAATACTAAGGGCTTCTCAGCTTTAGCAATGCGGTTAGCCACTAAGAATGATGCTCTCAGCGCAGACACATTTGAGGAAGTTGTGGCCTTCAATAATTGCTTGTGTTCTTCGTGTTCATGTTTTTTTCTTTTGAGAAGCTCCAAAGGCTTGTCTTTCAATGCAGGGTGCTTGGTCTCCATGTGGTGAAGCCGTTTTGAAGGTTCCATGGCTTCGTTGGATAGCTGGTCGCCACATATTATACAAAGCGGGCTTGGACAATGTGAATCACCTGTTGCAGTGAACCCGTGATTTAAGTAGGGCTCTTGGTATTTTCTTTTAAATGCAGCTTTCATTTTGTTGGCAGTCTTGGAGCCTTCTGCTGTCTCATCATTGTGTCTTTCCCCTTTTCAAAGAAGCTCTCCAGCGACGTTTGGTTTTTACTCATTTTGGCTAGGGTTAGCCTGCGGGCTTACCAAAACTGTGACTGAGAGAAGTGCGCAGTGTGGGAAAGAGGCACGGATGGAAGTAGTAAATAAAATAATGGGTGGGCCACGCACGGACTAAAATACGTGTCGGATTCTGACTTAAAGCCTGCCCCCAGATGCAGCTTAATTGTCACTTGCCACTCACTGATAGGGTTCTGAAATGAGTCTGCAAGCAATTGATTTATTGTGGTCTCTGTGCAGTCAGACCTCTTTGTTAATGCTAATCTGTATTTGCAGCCACTCCCCAGCACTAGCATCACCGCCTCAGCTCCACCTCAGATCATCAGGCTTTAGATTCTCATAAGGAGCGCACGACCTAGATCCCTCGCATGCGCAGTTCACAGTAGGATTCCCGCTCCTATGAGAATCTAACGCCGCCGCTGATCTGACAGGAGGCGGAGCTCAGGCGGTAGTGCGAGCGATGGGGAGCGGCTGTAAATAGAGATGAAGCTGTGCTTGCTTACCCGCTGCTCACCTCCTGCTGTGCGGCTTGGTTCCTAACAGGCCATGGACTGGTACCAGTCTGTGGCCCAGGGCTTGGGTACCCCTGCCCTAGAACCTTAGGCCCGGCCCTAATGATACATATATTTTAGTCATTTTAAGGAATTTTGATACACAGATGGTCTCCAAATGAGACAGCTAGTTTACTTTAAAAAGTTGAGAACTGGTTCAATTCCTGAAAACACAGCCCATGGAGCATGGGGGAGCCAAGGCAGGCTTAGTAATGTGTCTCGCTTGCTTATTGCAGCTGCATTCATCTTCTTATCCTCTAGCCCTTTCCTCAAAGCTCCCAGATCATCCATCCTGCACCACGAGTGCAGGCAGGCCAAGCACATTCAAGCTAGTCTGGGAGAGAGAATCCATTACAGGAGGAGCCACGAGAACCTCATGGGAGACAGAATAGGCCTTTCACCCTTAAGGACTTCAAAAAGAAAAAAACTGTGGCCATGCTTTAACCTCCTTCCAGGGGAAGGAACTCACCCTTAGGGGCAGTAGAGTCAGGTATATTATTGTACTCGTATGTATAGACTCTGGAATAGAAAGAATGATTCCGAGGGCCACAGCTTGTGGGTCACTCAAGTTCTGAACTACCTGCCAGGGAATGATTGGAAGGAATCATTAGGAATCACTAGGGTCTTGGAAGGAATGGAAAAAGAAAGGTAAATAAAGAGGTAAGGTGTGCTCTGTGCAGTTCTGTAGTACAGTTAAAATTTAATGAGGAAGAGAAGACTGACAATAAAAACGGAACTACCATATATAATCCAGCAATCCCACTTCCGTATATCCAAAAAGAACCAAAACCAGGATATTGAAAATTTATCTGTACTCCCAAGTTTACTTCAGCTGCAGCATTATTCACAATAGCCAAGATAGGGAAACAGTCTAAGTGTCCTTCAACAGATGAATGGATAAAGATGTTGCATTTGTATACAATTGAATATTATTCAGCCATGGGAAAGAAGGAATTTCCGCCATTTGTGACAACACGGATGGACCTTGAGAGCGTTACGCTTAGTGAGATAAGTCAGCAGAGAAAGACAAACACTATGATATCACTCATCCGTGTGATCTAATAACGCCAAACTCCTACTAACAGGGCAGAATGGTAGTTACCAGGGGCTGGGGGTAGGGGAACTGGGGAGATGTTTAAAGGTATGAACTTACAACTAGAAGATAAATACATTCTGGAGATCTAATATCCAGCATAGTGATTATAGTCAACAGTATTGTATTATAAACTTCAAAGTTGCTAATAAACTAAATCTTAACTGTTCTCACCACAAAAAAAGAAATAATCATGTGACATGATAAGAGATGCTAGTTAATGCTGTGATAATCATAATATATAAATGTATTAAATCAACACGTTGTACACCTTCAACTTATACAATGTTGATATGTCAATTATTACTCGATTTTAAAGAAAACAAAACAAAACCTGACAACGTCCTGGTCTGGATCAACTGCTCAAAATGTCCAAAGCTGAGAATAGGAGAGCTGATTCCCACCAAGCACCAAAATGAAGGGCTATAATGACTGGTGGGCATACAAGTGAGACT